CAGATTGTAGTTTAAAACAGTCTAAAGAACTATTCTTTTGCTAGAAGAGTGCATAATGTCGATGAGTTTCTTCTACGTTTACTTGATTTATTTTTTATCTCTTTAAGGACTCGATTTTGTTCCAAAACTGCCGTAAATGGGACACTCATTTAGGGCAAGATATCAAGAAAATTTAGCGACCTATTAAATTCTAGTTTAGGACAGTCGAAAGAACGATTCTTTTACTAGAAGAATGCATAGTATCGACGAGTTTCTCCTACGTTCACTTGCTTTATTTTTTATCCTTCCAAGGCCTGCATTTTGTTCCAAAGCATTTTGCTACAAATGGGACACTCATTCAGGGCAAGATATCAAGAAAAATTAGCTTCCTATCAGATTCTACTTTAAAACAATCGAAAGAACAATTCTTTCGCTACAAGAACACATATCGTCGATGCGTTTCTCTTACGTTTAGTTTCGCCGCGCGGGAAAGATATTGACCCTTCGCCGTCGAGCGCCGTTCTTTGCACCGCCAAAGAAATTGCAGCGCCCCGTTTCAAAATACCGTTCGCGCGATCAAATTCGTCCGTATTTGACAAACAGCTAAAAGTGTAACCGGAAGCCGGGCGTGTCCTTCTTTGTAGAACGTAGTCCTCGATCGCCGCGGAATTTTCGGTCGGCGATCGTATCGAACAAAGATACTCGGCCGGCTAATTCGAAAAGTTCCAGAGGCCAGGCTGTTCGAAAAGTTTCCGAGGCTCGGCGGAGGCTGCATCGAGAGAGCCAGCTCTCTCCGGCATCCGTTTCAGCCGTGATTGCCTCGCCGGCCTCCGCGCCGCGAGACTATGCTCGGATCGATCGGTTGCGTAACCCGCGTTTATCCGGTTCCGCGCCGATTTCCTCATCGAGCCCACGCGCCCCTTTGTGGCGCGCACACGTGGCCGCCGCGGATCGGCCGCGCGCGTTCTCTCCCGACCCTCGTCGTCGACGGCCCTCTCTCGCGCAAACGATCACGGCGGAACGGGCCACGGTTTTTCCGCGTAAAATCGACTCTCCTGATGGCGGTCACGTTCTCGGAAGAGAGACACACGCGCGGCCGCCGCCGCCGTCGCGTCGAGAGGCCAGTTACGTGTTATCAATTAGGATCCTTGATCCTTCCCGCTCACCCCGGCGGCTCTGTAATTCGTTGCACGAACACGAGAACCCTCGTCGGATCGAGTGGTCCTCGTAGAAAGGGCTCCCGTGAAGTAGCGGAACCGCGGTTTCCGTGTAGCCGCGCTCGCGACGTGGATACAAACGATATCCCGGCCTCCCGGCCCTCGGGAAGACCACTGTCTAACGTGTCTAACGCCTGCCGAAACGACGAATAATAATACGCGAAACAAAGTGTCGCCGTGCGAGCCGAACGTGGCCAGTAACCGCTCCCTGCGCGCGCGAGAACGCGCGGTGAGATACCGTTTTCGAAATCGTATTTCGATGATCGACGGAATTGCAAGATAAGTAGGAAATTGTTGGTACAGGAACTTAAGAATTAACGGATGGGTCAGGTAGACTTTATATTTTTGCTCGAATTTTTATTCATAGTTTACCTTATGCTTCATTTATTGATACTTTATTAATATTTTATTAATACCAGACGTTTAACACTAAACCTGCGGAACAATAAAATTGATTCACGTTGTGTTGTTCGATAAAAGTGACAAGATCCAATTTATTTAGATTTTGTTCTAAGTTTTGTTGCAGTAGTTGTTCATACGATGATTTTCCTTGAAAATGTCTCAATTGTTAACATAATTTAAGAAAATGTACGAGATGAAATGGAGTTATTGCATTGTAGTTTTGTGTCTTTGCAAAATTGTACTATTTTTGTTCGAGTTAAACATTCGTTCTTACATTCTGCATGATTTATGAACAAACTATTTTGCTTCTACAAGAATATGAAATGCATTTAGAGTTCGCATGAAATGCATTTTAACGCAAGCATTGGTCCCAATCATTCCGGACACCCTTTATATCACCCTAGAAACCGTGCGAAGATTAAATCAATCCAATCTTACCATTATTATAAAATAATAACCATTAATTCCGTTAAGCACTCGATAGTTGTACTGCTAAATTACTGAATCCCACTGCGCTTGTATTAAAAGTCAAGAATGAGAACAGAGAATACAGTAAATTCTCCGAAATTCGCGCTCAGATTCTGCGCAAAAAGTCGTAAGGCTCGAATAATTATTATAAATAATAATAAAGTATCTCCTGTTCCCAAATTATCTATTTTTGTGCCCACAATTTGAGCGCGAATTAGAGCGAATTTACTATATTCGCTAGCTCCGTTCGGAATGCTCCACCCTGTATGTTATTTGAAAGCTATAAGCGCCCAGGTCGGGGAATAACGCGTCGAACGAGACTCGCAGGTATCACGACAAGGGTCGTCGAATTAAGGCCCCCAGCGAGGTTCAAATTCGGTCAGTACACCCGGATTAGAGCCGATGTTGCGGCCAAGTACCGGCTACTCGAGGCTGCAGCCGCTAATCGATAGGATTAGCTTCTAGCTGACTCTGCGTGGACGCGAAGAAAGTCCTGGCCGAAATTGCGCTTTGCATAGATATCCTAGAGGAGATCCAGCTTCCAAGATCCCGGCGAAGAAATTCTATACCCTCGTTAACCCTTCCGGCCGTAGCGGCACGCGTTTGTCCCAGCGATATTAACCCTTTGCACTCGAGTGGTGTCTCCGAGGCACCGCTAAAAATTCTTGTATCATGTTACAAAATAATTTCTACGTTGTCGTGTTTGTTTATATTTAAGAGACCGATAGGGTAATAGTTCTGTAAGTTGCAAGACTCGATTTTGTACGCATAAACTGCACCGAGTCGTATAAAATAGAAATAGCGTAGGTCAGAAAAAGCCATCTTGGATTTAGAGTTAAAATGGCTTCGAGTGCAAAGGGTTAACCCTTTGCACTCGAGTGGTGACTCTGAGGCACCGCTAAAATTGTTGGTTCACGTTCCAAGATAATTTTTACATTAACGAAGTTTAAATTTGAGAAATCGTTAAAAGCGTAACTGTTGTCACGAGTCATCGTAATACTCAATTTCATACGCATAAAATGCGCTTTGTTATATAAAATGGAAATACCATGAGTCAGAAAAATTATTTTACATTTACGGTTAAAATTGCTTCGAGTGCAAAGGGTTAACGCTATGCCGTTCGGTGGCACCACGCAGGTGCCATTTTAAAAAAACTGAAATAACATTTGAACTATATTTCTTGGGTGTTGGAAGGCAGCAAACTAACTATAGCATTGTGCTTATTTAACTAAGAATTAAGCACGGAAATTCTTGGATGACATATCTTAATTTTAGGAATATATATATATTACCGCCATCTTCGAAATTTTTTTTTAAATCTAAAATTTACAAGCTATTATTATGGCGTCAAACAAAAGAATCATATTTAAGATCTGCGGACAGCATAGTGTCAATTTCCGATTGCCAGAAAGGCGATAATACGCGTCTCACAGATGCATTGTTTTGCGCTAATCTACGCGGTGTCCGACTGTGCACAGTAAATTCTCCCTAGAAGGGATGAGTCTTACCTGACTCATGCCCAAACAGACCATTTTGCGTTGTCTTTCGTCGAATCTCGGCATCGACGTGGCAATAAATCATATAAGCTTAGGAAAGTTCAAGGACCATTCTAATGCTAGCAACTGCATTTGTTAGTACAACAATGTCTCTCTAATTGACGCCTAGATTATCCACAGAAATGGACAATTTGGAAAGAGGAGATACTTTTATTCGAGCCTTGCAGTTAATTTTTATAATTACGAATTGTCAACAATTATAATAACGAGCCACAAGGCTCTAATAATCGTATCTCCTCTTCCCAAATTGTCCATTTTTGTGCAGAACCTGAGCGTCAGTTAAGGAGACATTACTGTATTTATTGTCCACTCCCAGCTGTTTATACATTGTAAACCCTTCTTAGTCCCTTGCCGCACCGTTTACTTTACAATTGCAGCGATTAGAACTTGAACAATTGCTTAAATGAATAATAATTATTGCTTAGATGAAGAAGGGAGTTTATAGTTATTATGTATTATTATTATTATTATATTATTATTATTACTATTATAGTTATTATTATTAATATTACTATTATTATTATAGTTATTATTATATTATTATTATTATGTATTTACGTCTAAACACTGGTGACAAGGAAACAGAATTCGATTACTTAGATAATTCCGACCTAAAAGAACGTAACATAATTCATGCTTAACAGCTCATTGCTAGAAAGTATTAGAAAGCATTACTCACAGCGGCGTGAGTCACACGTTTCCAAAAAATCTGGCAATCTTTGTAATTGTTGCACAGCTTCTAAACGGCGCAGCTTTTCCTCGGTGTTCCTGTCATCGGTTTCTTAAATGGAAGATCAACTTGAATACCAATGGAAAATAGCCGGGCCGACGGTTATTCACAGAGTAAACACGTTGAACCGGCGCGTCGTTCCGTCGCAACAAAGGCTGCTGCTGGCGTGCGGCAGCGTGGCGGCGCCGGTGGCCGGAGATAGTACGCGTCTCGGCCGCGTTCGCATAGGGGTGCGCTCGCGACTCCCTCCAGGTGTCCCAACCTAACCTACCCCTACTTCGTATCCCTCAGTTCGGGCAATCTGCTCTCTCTCCGCGGCCCCTCGCCCCTCCATTCTCCTGCGAGGACCTTTGGTTCTGGTTCCAGCGTTCCTGTCGGCCATCCCCTCTCTCCCTCCTCTCGCTCTCTCTCTCTCCATCCCGCACGGTGGTCTCGCGCGCTCTCTCTCTCTCGCTCTCTCGCACTTCGGCGTTCTCTGTCTCGCTCCGCCGCTCCCCACCAAGTGGAAACGAGGCGGCGAGCGCACAGCTGCCACACTGCGAACCGCGAGGATCGGAGAGACGCGGACGACCGACGCCGTTCCGTCGTTAGTCCACAGAGTACCGGGTGCCTTCGAACTTCACCTAGAAAAGCCGCGGTGGTCGACGTGTGGAAAAACAGAGTGTGTTATAGAGAGACGACGCGAGTGTGTTTTGTTTTGTTGTGTGCAGTGCGAAACAGGATTCCGGTCGCAGGCCCAAGGTACACACAGAATCTATACCACCCAGTGAACTCGGGTTTCGCGTACGTACGTCGTCGTCGTCGTCGTCGTCGTGTACGTGACCGCGCGTCGGTAACCGGCTTTGTCGCGTTCAATCGTCCCGCTGGAAGGTTCGCGCGTTCCCTTTCTACGTTCCCCGTATGCGGAGCAAAGGCCCCGCTGGCCGTGGACCGGCTCGACGGACCGTCAGTAGTCCCTTTGTTCCGGTGGAGCACGGTCCCGCGGACCCATCGCGACGAGACAACTGTTGTTTTGGCGGCTGCGAGTCGCGGCACGCCGCGCGTCGCGTCCTGCATCCTTGCTGCTGCTGCTGCTGCGATCGGCGAACATCCTCGCGACCTTGAACTTGTGTGCCTGTGCATCCCGCCGCTGCGAGAACAGCCGTCGTCGTCGTCGTGCGTGGTTCGTTTAACCCTGTGGACGCCGGTGCGATTCAAGTCGATCCGGTTCGTTTATCTTTTCTTTTTGTTTCTTTTTTTTTTGTTCCGTTCCGTTTCGTTCCGTTTCGTTTCGTCTCGTCGTACGACAAAGAGCAACTTGTTCCCGCGACGAGAACTGGCAACTAAATCAGGAGGAAGCCTGCGCCGGGTGGCAGCTGCTGGCGGCCAAGCCTGAAACACCAGACGAGCTCCAACATGTTCCCATACACCACCTTCTCCACTGTGGGGTAAGCCGGGATGCAACAATGTCACACTTCTTACCGGTCCGACCAAAAGTCTTCTCGTTTCGGCGCTCGCGGTCAATTCATTTATCGTCGATGTTTTGTTCTCTTAATGGCTCCTTTTTTTATGGTACAGATATATATATATATATATATATATATAACGTGCATTGGTGTAACGTTTAACCCCATTGACTGCCACGCAAATTTAGCGCGTCTTGCCCCTGGGTGTTTGTACATTGTATACCCTTCTTAATTCCTTGCAGTACCGTTTACCCTTCTTAACTCTTTGCGCTCGAAGCCATTTTAACCGTAAATGTAAAATAATTTTTCTCACTAGAATGGTATTTTTTCCGTTTTATATGACAAAGTGCATTTTATGCATGTGAAATTGACTCTTGCGATAACTTGTGACGACAGTTACACTTTCAACGATATTTTAAGTTTAAGCTTTGTTAATATAAAAATTATTTTAGAACGCGGACTAACAATTCTAGTGGTTCCACAGAGTCACCACTCGAGTGCAAAGGGTTAATTCCTTGCAGTACCGTTTACTTTACAATTGCAACGATTAGTACTTGAATAATTGCTTGAATGAGTAATAATAATAATTGTTTAGATGATAAAGGGACTTTATATTTATTGTGTATTTACGTCTACTTGAACGTTTAAATACTGGTGGCGTGGGAATAGAATTTGATTAGTTGGATAGTTCCGACTTAAAAGAACGGAACATTATTCGTGCTTAACCCATTGACTGGCACGTAAATATAGTCGCGTCTTTGCCCTGGGTGCCACGGTTTTATTTTTTAACCCTTTGCACTCGAGTGGCGACTCTGAGGCACCGCTAATATTTGTTATATCACCTTTTAGGATAATTTTGAAATTAACAAAGTTTACGTTTGAAAAATTGTTAAGAGTTGCGCGAGTCCCAACAGTCAATTTTCATATATGCATAAAATGCATTTTCTCATATAAAATATAAATATCGTAAGTTAGAAAAATGATTTTATATTTTCAGTTGAAATAGCTTCGAGTGCAAAGGGTTAAGGAAAACATGAAGTTTTGCAAAATATAATTACCGATACAATATAATACAATAATATTATACAAGATAATAATAATTATTATACAATATAATACAATAATATTATACAATATAATAATATAGTTACCGATACAATATTGCAATGGCATTTACAGTAATTTTTTTTTTATTGATAATCGATATGTTCTCTACACTATATACATTTTTCGTTCATCCTTTCTAACAGTTCCTAACTCAAATAGCCATTCGTAGCCAATCTAAACTTTTGCGGTACCCACTACGAGATATCTCGTAGTTGGCAGTCAATGGGTTAACGTACGTTGATATGATAGGAGGAGTATGAAAGAATTAGTGCAGAGCGTAGAGAGTTAGGTGAGAAGTTCTAAGCGACGGCAGAGGTTACAGTCAAATTCGAAGCGACGGCAGAGAGATACATGAAACTTTGAGTGCCGACAGTGACACGTAAAATTCTAAGCGACGGCACAGGAATAACCCTTTCGCAGTCGAGCGGTGACTCTATAAGTTGTTATATCACCTCGCGAAAACGTTTTGTGCGTCATCGAATTTATTTACGGTTCAAAGAACTGTTAAAAGTGCGACTGTCGTTGAGAAATTATTGTGGATTTCGAGGAAGGACGGTTTCGAGTGCAGAGGGTTAAAGAGACATATACAGTAATGTTTGTCTAATTGACGCTCAGATTGCGCAGAAAATTGGACAATTTGGAAAGCGGAGATACGATTATTCGAGCCTTGTGATTCGTTTTTGTAGTTGTTGACAATTCTTAAAAACGAACCGCAGGACTCGAATAATCGCATTTCTTCCTCCCAAATTGTCCATTTTTGTAGGCAACCTGAGCGTCAATTAGAGAGATATTACTGTGAATGGGCGCTTTGTTCGTTCGCAGTTCTAGCAAACTATTTATTTGGTTATTTATTTGTACGATATATTTACAATATAAATATCTTTCTTATTTTACAATATATATACTTATATTTTACAATATAAGTTTTTACGTTTTTATTTTACAATATATATACTTATATTTTACAATATAAGTTTTTACGTTTTTATTTTACAATATCTATACTTATATTTTACAATATAAGTTTTTACGTTTTTATTTTACAATATATATACTTATATTTTACAATATAAGTTTTTACGTTTTTATTTTACAATATAAATACTTATATTTTACAATATAAGTTTTATACGCTTTTATTTTACAATATAAAACGTATATACAATAATATTCGTTATACAATATACATATGGATAAGAGAAATAACAATTAAACATACAGAAGCTAGAACAACGAACGTCAAGATTAGTCGAACGACCAAAACTGAATGAATGTCGCAATCATTAGAAATTCTTGTGCAGTTACACGGTTATGGAATTTACGTAGCACAGCGAGGTTCGGCCTCTGTCAACATAAAAAGAGTGATTCATGTTAAACAGTGACCTTCCACGATATCGAATTCACGGTAATGACGCGGTAATTTTTGTTTTGAACTCGATTCGCAACCGTGATCGGTCGATGCCTTGTCCACGTTTTCCGTGACTTTCGTAGTTTACCAGAATCTGAACCGTTTTTTTAGGTTGCCTCTAATGGGAGGAGAAGTCCGGTCGCGAAGGCCGTTTTCGCCGGATCGAATCGCTTTCTATCGAATTATTACGTGCTGTCTCTCTATGCTTGTCAGACTTCCCGCCCAGGGATTTGTTTACCAATAACGTTTATCCGTCCGTCACGCTGCCATCGCGCGTTCGTTTCGAGTCGTAATACCGCGCGTCTGAACATGAGATAAGAGACCGCAAATGTATATCGACACGTGGCACACCTATATACATACGTATATACAGGGTGTCCCGAAAATGTCTCGGAATCCGGAAATGGGAGGTTCCCGAGGTCATTCGAAGTAACTTTTTCCTTTGCGAAAATTTTCTCCGAGGCTTCGTTTACGAGTTATTAACCGAAAAACACTGACCAATAAGCGGCAAGCTCGTCTGGCGCGCGGCGGCCCAGCCAACCAGTGCACGGAGCCCGGTTCCGCTCATTGACCCGGCCGTCTCGCGCCAAATAATCTCGCCTCTGATTGGTCACTGTTTTTCGTTAATAACGCGCAAACGAAGCCGCGGATTGCATTTTCGCTAAGGGAAAAGTTGCTTCGAATGACCTTAGGAATCCCCTACTTTCGGATTGAGAGACATTTTCGGGATATCGTATATATAATTCTCCGATATTAATTTACTTTTCGACTTCGTGTCCGAGGTACAAAGAATCGATTACCGGAGGTTGTTAAAAAAGAAAAAAGAAGCTGCCGTTTCATTAGTGACACCGAAAAAGAAACGAGAAGACTCTTCGCCCGACCCGAATATTAAATCGGTGGGAAACGAATAGCCGCTCGACGCTCTTTTATACACCCGATACGATACATTATAATTCCGTGCGAATTTACGCGGCTCGTAAATCGTATCGCCCTATGATACGGCGACACCCGGCGATGTGTTCGGCAGCGTTTCATGCTCCGATGAAAATATCGCAGGGGGCGGGGGGTGCCGGCTATGGATTTTCGAACTACGGACGCGGCCGTAAGAAAACAATCGGGGGCAATAACTGTTGCTATAGCGACGCGATATAAAGCCGGACGACTTTGAATCGGCTGCTCGTTCTCCACCGACACTTTCGAAGTTTAGTATCCTGGCGATTCGACAGCGGTCTCTCTCCGTGTCTCTTGGCTTATGCGAGTGTCGCTCGACGCACGAAGGTCTGGCTTTCTCTGCTAGCGAATGCTGCTCCTACTACTCCCTGCATCTTGCGTAGAGGCCTCTGTCTCGTTTCTCCTCCGTCTCTGTCGTAGCCTAGCTAGCTCTTTCGCTCTCCGGTTGAACCCTTTCATTCGGAACTGTGTTTGTTTTCGTGGCGCACGGCCGTGTGTCGTGCTCGCCTCGGACCGCGACCGGCCCGACTCTTTGATAACGAGGTTCGCGTACGCGTGGTACACACCCTCGCATAAGTGTCGCGACGGCCGCGGAACAACGCGGCCATGATCTCCGGGACACGTTTTAACACCGAATGCGTATTCTCGGCTCGTTTCGAATCGGCGAAGACCGGGGAACGACAGGGTGTGGTATTTAGGGGATGATTGTTCCTCATGTTTGTTCGACCGTTGCGATAGCATTTTGTACAGGCTCTGTTCAACGCTCGAACCGCGGACCTCGTTGACGAAAATCTGTCTGGGTGCGGTTAGGGTGATTTGCATTTTTATTTAGCTATTTTCCTGGATATATTTTTTGGGGTGCTGTCGTTGGACTTATCAGATTTTTTAATGGGGGACGTGTATTATTGTGGGAAAAATTAATCGACAGAAACTAGATGATCGAATGACGATGTTTATGCATTCGGATCACGGTTGAGCAACAAGTTATCTGATTTATGATCAACGATAATGACTTGGTAGTTAATGTAATTAATTTATGTCGAGAGAATTGATAAATGGAATTGTAAATCATCCGAAGTGTGTTCAGTTACATTTTTGTAAAAATGGTCCGCAGTTCGTGTGTTTAATGTGAACGCCGTTCGTATCCTTTGAGACGCAATTAAAATTTGATTGTTGTGTAGTATTAAACTAGAACCGCTGTAATAATTGTAAATGGCCCATTTACTCTAGGAAGATCATAGTGCAAGGGGGATGGGGTTATGCAAGCTGGACCATGAATATCGATTCAAAGATGTCGTCTATCCGAAAGAATTGATTGATTGATTGATTTATTTATATATAGACGAGTTCAACCTTTTAAACAATGAAATGCAGGTAAAAGATTTTGTACAGGACCACCGTATACTTTTTAAAAGTAAAAGTGGGAGTGACCAAATTTATAGACTCGCCAAATTTATTTACGTTCAGAAATATCTAAACGTATTAGCAGTAAGAAATATTTAAGTCTCTTTACGTT